GAGAGAGGTCCCAAGCCCATGACAAAGGAGGAAAAGGAGAAGGAAAAAGAGGAGGCCAGGAAGAACGGGAATGGAGAGGTGAGAGGAGGGAGGGGGGGGGGCGTAGCTCCCTTCCAGGAGAACAAGAGAGAAAAGCTGCCTTCTAACCTGATGTCGGATGTCACAGTCCCACCTCACTGTCTTCTGTTGGGCAGGGTGGTTACAAAAGCCAGCCTGATTCAGTGGGTAGGGTTGCGATCCCATGGTGGGCGGAGAGCCCAGGTCTCACTGTTGGAAGAGCCCATGTGAGGGACATAGCCACCACTGCCCAACGAACCAGTGTGCTGCTGTGGTCAAAAAGCAAACCCCAAAACCAAGGCCAGCAGAGGGGACAGGGTCACTGCTGGAGCCAGGGGTGACTCAGCTCACCCTAAAGGGTCCGAGTTGGTAGATTCCAGAAAAGAACAGGAGCCAGATACAGTGGTGTGTCTCTGTAGTCCCAGCTACGTGGAAGACTAAGGCAGGGGCACAGCTTGAACCCAAGGGTTCGAGACCATCCTGGTGCAAGGCTATTCTGGGCAACAAGACTGCTTCACCTGGGGCCTGGCTGAAGGGAGGCACGGCTGCTGGGGGCTGTGATATGGGGTTGGCCAGAGGAGGCCAGATAGACCCCGTGAAACAACCTTGTCATCTTCCATTGCCCAACACACACAGCTATCCTCACTTCATTTGTCAAAGTTAACCCTCAAAAATCCACCCCACCCCTCCGTGGAGCACTGGCACAGAGTGCTCCCCACCCCCACCCCTCGGTGGAGCACAGAGCACTCCTCACCCCCACCCCTCCGTGGAGCACTGATGCAGAGTGCTCCCCACCCCTACCCCTCGGTGGAGCACAGAGCACTCCTCACCCCCACCCCTCCGTGGAGCACTGAGCAGGACTGAAGAAAACCTCAGAAAATACCTGTGCCTTCTAGAAATGCGCCAGTCGGCTCTTGAGACAGAAGGCTACCCTGGTCACAGCACGTGCAGCCTGGGGTTCTGAGCACAAGCGCAGAAGCAGCTCTCAGACTCGTGCACCACGTTGCCCAGATTTTGTCTGCACTCTGGTTCCTCAGAATGGGTGACGGGGGTTCTCAAATCTGGTCTGGAAACTGCTCCAGATGTGAGCGGGTGAGTGGTTTAGACTGATGGGTGCTCCAGATGTGAACGGGCGAGTGGTTTAGACAGATGTGTAGTCAGCTTTTCCCTAGGCCATCTCCCCAGTCTAGACAAACACAGAGCCGGAGACTGTTTGTAAGAAATAGAGTTTAACCCCGCCTGGCAATGGCTTTTTTCTACTTGAACAAAAGTTGTTATTAGGTTGGGCATGGTGGCTCAAGCCTATAATCCTAGCACTCGGGAGGGAGAGGCAGAGGCAGGAAGAGCTCTACGATTTTGAAGCCAGCCTGGTTTACATAGTGAGGTCCAGGACAACCAGGACGACATAGTGACCCTGTCTCCAAGAAAACAAAACAACAAAACACAAAAACAGACAACAAACTTTTGTAAAATTGACTGGACAGGTTTCTGGCCAATCAGGCTGTGTGTTTGGAAGGGTCTACTGTGACACACAAGGCCAAATGAGTGTGCAAAATGAGTCCACAGTGCAAGCAGGAAGGCAGTCCTCCCTAAGCAGGGACAGTGTTTGGGAGGGACCTAAGGGAGATGATACCCTGACCTGCAATGTCCTCTCGTCCTCAGGGGCTGTCCCTGACACAATCACTGTCAGTACACACAATGCTCTTTGCCTAGAACCCTGTGTGCATATGTGTGCATGCATGAGTGTGCATAGTTAGGTGCACTTGCAAATACACATGTCTGTAGGTGCACATATGTTCACATGGTATGTAGAAGCCTGAAGCCCACATTATTTTTTCAGATATGATCTCTTACTGGCCTGGAACTTAACCAAGTTGGTTAGGCTGTCCGACCAGGGAGCCCCAGGGACCCACGTGTGTCCACTCACCCAGTGCAGGACATGCCACCACATCAGCTTTCTTCGTACGGGCTCTAGGGACCATGCTTGTACAGCTGGTACAAGAGTAATCACTGCCCCGCTTTCCTAGCCTGGGACTTGGGCTCTCCTCTGTGTGGAAGCTGGGCAGCCCTTGGTCTCTGGGAAGGAGTGGGGTCCTGGAGGCTCACTTTGGGGGTCAGACACTTCACCAAAAATCTGAAGCTAGCATTAAGGAATAACAGGGGGTCTGTGGGGGTGGAGGTCATTTTCCAGGAGGCAGAGTGGCTCGTAGATACCACATCTGTCAAGACAGGTGGGCAGCTTGAGGCTCCTGACCCTGGGAAGACCAGCTGTCCTATGGCACAGCTGTCCAGTCTCACACAGTGAGAACAGCTCTGCCCTGGGCCCCTTCCAGGACTCGCCCTGGTGTTTGCTTGCCACTGGAGGACATGGCCTCTGCTGGGGACTTGCAACAAACACTTGGTAGCAGTCAGGTGCCAGGCAGTGAAGAGTCATTTCCTGAAGCCGGTGCAGATGGCAGCTAGCCGCTGGCCGGATGCTGTCCTCTGCACAGCTGCAGGACTAAGATGGGGATGGACAGAGGTTGTGGGCTGCATTATCAGGAGGAAAGGAGGCCCTGCCTTGGCCTTGAGGGCTGCCTGTCTCCCTTCACGGTTCTCCATTGCATCAGTGCCTGAGGAGGGAGGAAGAGCTAGCCTGCTAGCCCACAGCCCGCAGGAATCTTGAGGAGCCCCATGAGGGATTCCTGGCACTCCAATGGATCAGGGGAGCACCTGGCAGGAGCTGCTGAAGCTGGGATGCTGCAGCTCCCCCCAAGTGAGCATCGTTCACCCTGCAGGGACATCAAAGGTGCTCACGAATGACATTTAGGGACAGTGATATCCTCTGAGAGACACTGACAAAGTGACTCCATGTCTTCAGAACCTGGTGGAGCCCACAGAACAGCCTGGAGAGGCTGAGGGGCTCTAACATGCCCATATGGGAACTGTTGTGCACAATATATTACCATATAAAGAGAGGCAAACAGTATGAGGGACCCACTGTGCAGGGGACAGTCGGGAACTGGGTACTGCCAGCTTAATTTTCTGTAAACCTAAAACTGCTTTTAAAAATTAATCTGCTTGTCATAAAATGAATAATTTAAAATGTACCTTGATCTTGCCTTTGGGAGGCTGAGGCAGGAAGGTCAAGATTCCAAGACAATCATGGGCTACATAGTGAGAAGCCAGCCTGGGGTAGGTGAGACCTTGTCTCAAAACACCAAGATAAATTCTCTGCTAGTGAAGTGGGAGAGTTGGTTCAATGGTTAAGAACATTTGCTGCTCTTGCAGAGGACCTGGGTTCACTTTCCAGCACCCACATGGTGGCTCACAACCATCTGTATCTATGGTTCCGGGTGGCCCAATGTCCTCTTTCTATCTCTGTGAACACCAGGCACAGACGTGGCACATATACATACTTGCCTGCAGAAAAAGACAAAAAAAAAAACCCTACATATACATGAAGTAAAATTTCTCATCTGGGTGTGGTGGTGACGGCACACATTATTAATCCAAGCCTTCGGGAAGTCAAGGCGAGTGGAGGATGCGGAGCTCCAAGCCTTTGGGAAGGAGAGGCGGGCGGAGGATGTGGAGTTTTAAGCCTTTGGGGGAGGAGAGGCAGAGGATGTGGAGTTGCAAGCCTTCAGGAAGGAGAGGCGGAGGATGCGGAGTTCCAAGCCAGGCTGTTCCACCTGGGAGGCAAACGGACAGAAAGATGACGTAATAAGCACCGACTGAAGCCATTGCCTTCAGAACTCTGCAGAACTCTGCCTCTTCCTTCCTCTTCTTATCTCTCTTTGGGATCCACAGTGGTTGCTTGCCCTAGCCTTCACCTCCTGCCCCAGTGGCTCCCAAATCAGTTCTCTCTGTCTTTTGACTGCTTTTGACTGCTGCCATTCCTCCCCCGCCCTGCAGATACCTCAACTTTCCATTTGTAGTCTTCCAGCAAAGCCCTGCCTGAGTGTGAGGAGCTCGGTTCTGTGTTCTGTAAGACTGGATGTTATGTAGCCCAAGCTGGCTAGGTAGCCGAGAATGACCATGAACTCCTGGTCCTCCTGCCTATACCTTCCAAGTGCTAGAATCATAAGCAGGAGGCACCACATGACCCCAGACACGGTTCTTTTTTTCCTCCTTTTTAATTGTTTTTATTGAGCTATACATTTTTCTCTGCTCCGTCTCTTTCTCCCCCTCCCCTTTCACCCTCTCCCGTGACCCCCGCACTCCCAATTTACTCAGGAGATCTTGTTTTTTTCACCTTCCTATGTGACGAATACTGCTGCTATGAACATAGTTGAGCCGTTCAGACACTGTTCTTCCCTCCTCCCGTGACTCCTCCCTCCCCAGTGATCCAGAGAATGGCCCCCAAGCCCACTGCCCACTCTTCTGCGGGCAGGACTAGTGTAAGCCATAATAAAGGCTCCTGTGTTTTCTTGTCCTGGGGAGTTGGTCGTGATGGTGTCGATCGGAAAGGTTGTTGTCATATTGCACTACTCTCTGACTCTCTAGGACACAGAGTTCAGGGTCTGAGGAACCAGCTTAGGGATGGGAAAGACAAGAGCTGGATACAAATGTCCAGGTGCCCAGAAGAGGGCAGAGCTGAGAACATGGAGCCCTCTGTGACGCTACAGGCAGTGTCTGAAAGGCATTGCGTTGAAACTTTGTCTTGTCCCACATCCTGTACTTAGTCCTCTTCCATCCCACCTCAACCCCTGACCAGCGCTTCAACCCCTGACAAGCGCTGGGATTGCTCCTGGAACTCTCTGGCAGGACAGAGCTGGGGAAAGTGGGTATCTACCCTTGGGCACCAGCTCTCATGTCCCCTGCCGCCACCTCACCTCCCCATCAGCTTCTAAGAAGAGGCCTGTAGGAGCCAGCTCCTACCAAGTCAGCTAGGGTTCCTGGATTGGGGGTCGTTAAGGCTAAGGAAGTGTCAGATGAAAGGAATTGAGACAGAAAACACAGGATGGAATCGGGAGGTCTGTTTGGTCATGCCGAAACAGCCAAACAGCCCGGAGTTTACTTCAGAATTTGCTTATATGCAAAGGCAGAGGAACAAAGCACAGCCGGTCAGTCAGTATCTAACCACAGGACATTCCTGTCCTTGAGTGAGCAGCCTCCTCTCCAACTCACGCGTGCTGCTCGGGAGCAGCCTCACTTTCTATCTTGATGTTCCTGAGGTTTGGCGTCAGCAGTATTCTTTCTACGAGATAAGATGTTCTTTTTCACGGGCACAATGCTCTTTCCCATGGGCTAACTCAGAAGAAGTCTCTCACAGCCCTCAAGGTTATTGGAAGAAGCAGGGCAGGCAAGCTTGACCTCAAATGACTTTTAAGTCAGAATGGACTCCAGATGGAAACTGAGCCCCACATGGGCTCCCACAGAGGGCTCTGCCCATCAGTCTCCCTATCCATGCCCATCAACCTCTCGGTTCATCAGGCCCCTCCACCATGCCCATCCACCACACCCATCAGCCTGCCCTTGCATGGATGCTCCCCTCCTCCCTGCTTTAGGCGAGCTGTCTGCCATTCTTCCAGGGACAGCTTCCTGTCTCTGACTTTCTAACAACTCAACTTTCAAAACCCCAGTCCACATTCCTTTTCCTTATTATTATTATTATTATTATTATTATTATTATTATTATTATTTTGGTTTTTTGAAACAGAGTTTCTCTGTAGCTCTAGGTAGTGATGAGGTCCCCATCCGTGCTCCTACATCCCAGAACTGCGCTCACAGCGGTGGCTGCTACATCAAGGCTCCTCAGGGCAGTAGACTGACACCTTACAGCCGTGAGGAGAGCGGGAGGCTTGGTGCGTCCACTCGGCCGTGGAAGCTGAGCTTGTCTCACACACAGAGAGCTCTTGTGTTTGTCCTCTGCCAAGCAGGCCAAGGGTTACAGTTGTATCCTGGAGTCTCTGGGCCCTTGGGAAAAGCCAAGCCTCCCTTCCCCTCCCACAGGGTGCTGTTTTCCCTCTCAGCTCACGGAGAACCTGAAAGTGGTATTTTCTCTGGAAGCCACTATGAAAGCAACAGCCCAGGCTGTTACACGCCTTCTAGGTGACACTCCAGCCTGGGGCGGCTGCTGGCTAGACTTGGATTCCCCTCTCCACCAGGGCTGGGGAGATCAGAAGCCTTGGGGAGTGGGGCTGTGTAACACCTTCAGGGAACAGACCTCTCTCAAGCTTCAGGCACAGGGCTATCAGGTTAGAAAATATGGCATGTCCTCTGGGGCCCGACTTTGAGAGCTTCTTCCGTTCTGGGAGAGTCCAAGCGGGCTAGGGTCTCCTAGACAGGCTGTCATGGCTGACTGTCTTCCTTTCCACCCTGGAGCTTCCTGAGGCGGGGGCAGGGGGATGGCTATCTCTCTGGAGTCCTCTTCCACTCCACTCATACAGATGTATCCCCCAGACCCCAGGACTCTGTACACCTGGCAAAGATGTGGCCGCAGCCATGCAGCCAGGTATGTGACAGTCAGCTGCCCCTACCAGATCCTCCACTGCACTCAGGTGGAAAACAGGCCCTGCAGAGGAAACAACCACAAGGAAGGATTTGAACTACGGGTGTGGCCCTGGGACGGGATGGGGGACATGACAGGGGTGCAGGGCCATGGATGTGCAGGAAAGCACTTAGGGAGAATGCAGGTGGGGAGGAGCCTTGCTAGGTAGGCTCTAAGGGGGAGCTCAGATTCACACACATACACATATTTTTTAACGAAACTATGATATTTGATATTTGCCACAAAAGAACCTCCTTTGGGTGGATCACAAGGACCAGCCTGGCCTCTGTGATCCTCTGCGGTGATCAACTGAGAGATGGAACCTGAGTGCCTCTTGTGGTCTTGTTGCGTGGTTCCTCAGGTGGGGATAGCGAGCTGGGCTTCACCGCTGCCTGCTGCCAACTGCACCCCACCCCCTGCTGTTGACTCCCAGGTTTTATAGAAACCCCCAGCTCTGAGTAATGAAGGCGCCCGCCTCTCGGAGGGAACATGTGTTTCCAATCTTTCTGCTCCGCAGTGAGTCACCACCGACAGCTGCTGCCGGCTTCTCCACCACCGCTCATCTCAGACCCTGCTGACCGCTGGCTCCACCCCCATCCCCTCCTCACAGCCAGCCTGGCTCCTGGGCCTGATTTTCCACATCCAGTATGCTAGCCCTCCAAGGGTGTCTACCCTGCTATCTGAACCAGCACACTGCCCCCCTGGTGCCTACCCTGCTACCTGGAGGACTTTGACTCAAACCCAGGTCTCTTCCGACCCATTATTTCTCCCAGGCAACAGCCCTATGAGGCTCTTGGCATGGTACCCATCGTACTCAGCATCTCTCCTCTCTCTCTTTCTCTCCCTCACTCTGTGTGTGTGTGTGTGTGTGTGTGTGTGTGTGTGTTCATACACAAGCACATGTAGGCCAGAGTCAACATTGGGATGTCTTCCTCAACCCTCCCCACCTTGTTTTTGGAGGCAGGGTCTCCCACTGAACCTGGAACTGTTGATTAAGGTAGACTGGCTGGCCAGAAACCCTGAGACATACTTGTGTCTGCTTCCCCAGTGCAGGGATTGCAGGCGCAGCCACCATGTTCTGCTTTTCCATGCGATCCAAATTCACCTACCAAACACATTACCAGCTGAGCCATCTTCCAAGCCCATGTTTTTTATTTCCTAATAAGCAGTGGTTTGTGCTGCAAGAGAGGATGGATTCCTTTACCTCATCCCCAGCCCCAGCTCCTGAACAACACTGGTACATGACTTGGGCCCAAGACATACTTTTAAGCAATGAAGACTCTCTGATCTATAGCCTTAAAGGATACCGAGTCAGAGGCTGGGCACATATTTGTGATCCCTGCCCTCTGGAGACCGGTGGATCTCAGTGAGTTCAAGGCCAGCCTGGTTTGCACGGTGAGTTCCAAGCTAGCCAGGAACCCCCGACTCAACAAAACAAAACAGAAGAAATACGCAGTCTGTAGGAAAGACAGATCGGAAACAGTTCACCAATGAGATAGGTCACAAGCGGCCTGAAGTAGGGTCAACGTGGGGGGCCACGGAACACCTCATCAAGGCCACTCTCTGTCACCATGCAGTCCCGGCTTGGCACCTCTCTGCAAGCGGATCAGTCTATATCACATTCAGCTAGCCAGGATTTGGGGGGGGGGGGGAGGTGTGAGACCGGTGCAGGGTTCACAGAGAAGGGATATTTAATGGTGCAGGGCACAGGCACCAAGAGTGACTAGGAGGTCCTGTCCCAGATGGTCCCTGCCTCCCCACAGCACCAAATGGCCAGGTGCCAAGGGAGAGCTCATGACACTCTCCCACCTCTGCAGGGAACCAACTGGAATCACATGGTAAGATTCCATGACTTACCAGTGAGCATCCTCGGTGACGTTAGCTCCGTAGCCAGCAGAGAAGGGAATCGAGGAGACAGGTGACTAGCAACCACTGGGAACACTAGCTTTGTTCCCAGGCCATATTTCACCAGAACAGAACCATATGGCAGGGTCATTCAGGACAGTCACTGGGCCCATTTCTCTCCAGGAAGTTCCAGGCACCCATGGACAACCACTGTCCTGAACTTGGTCCCTTGTGCCTTTGATGCTGAACAGCCCTTCATAGCTCAGGAAGAGTTGAGCAGGCCAAGGCAAAACCAAGGAGCCAGGAGCCAGACTTCAGACAGCAGAGAAATAGCATAAGGGTGCCATGCCTCCTTTTCCAAGAAGCCCCGCTCCCTCTTCCCTTCCCCATCTCTTTACTAGGAGCCTGCTCCTCCAGAGGGAACAGGACAGACTTTGAATCTAGAGGTGATAGCCCTGTGCACTCCTGGCTGAGCAGTGATGTCATGGAGAAGCTAAAGTATCTCTAGAGAAGCAAGAAGAGAGGAGGGAGGGAGGGAAGGCCAGTCAGGAGCCGGAGAGGAAAAAGAGGACCAGGGAGAAGGGAGGGGTGGGTTCTCTCCACAGACCTAATCACCGCCTGGCCCCTGCGATTTACTGCAGCACTCAGCATTGGCCCGCAGCCTGCCACGGAGCCCAGCCTCCCTTCTGTTTGGATTAGGCAATGACATCATGGCCAAAGGCTGTCACTCCCCAACACCAAAGGAAGCAGGGGATGGTGGCGGGAAACCTGAGCCTCTGAGCCTCCCATCCCTGACCAGCAGGCCAGGGAACCTGAAGCCACCATTCCCAAGCAACCCCTGCTGAGCTGGGCAGTAAGTTCTGGGTCTCTGACCCCCCCTCCCTGCTAGCTGAGGCTGCTTCCTGGGGAAAGGCAGCCGAGAGGGGCACAGGGTTTTCATCACAAACCGCTCATGAGTAAAAGCACATGACCACATGCCCAGGGCCAAGCGGAAATAGCCTGGGCCTGAGGGAATGAGAGCAGCAAGTCCCAGGGCATCCACTCCTGCTTCATCTACATTCCTGAGTGCTGCACTGAAGTGGTCTAGAGGGTCCCCCAGAGCCCAGGCAGAGGGGAGCCAGAAGAGAGGGGAGGGAAGCCACACACTCTTAAGAATCCAAAGCTACAGGAGCCTGCTCTACTTTCTGGACAGAGGGCAGGGATCCCTGGCTTTGCCTTCGTTTTAGGATGAAAGCCCTGAAAACCCAAGAGGAGAGACCTGACCCTGCAAGGTCCCTGTGAAGCCAGCCGGCACAGGCTGAAGCTGCCACACCAGCCTTCCTCAGTCTGGGATGCTGACCCAACCAGCACAGAGCTATGTGGCAATGCTTTGGGGCCAGTCATCAACAGGGCTTCCTGTTCCCCTCCAGGACACACTCCCTCCCTCTCTCTGTTTTGCCCTCCCTTCCTGTCTGGAGTCCTTGTACCCATGTAGGTGGGGGCGGAACTGCTGCTGGGAAGTTGTGCCTCACATTGGCTGCCGGCACCCGGCACCGGCACCTACATCCCCCCCGAATTGGCTAAAGTGGACACGGAATGCTGGGCTCATGGGTTTGTGAGATGCCTGCCCGGGAGAGAGACAGGCAGCTGGGTTGTGGGAGATGCCAAGTTGTCACTTTAAAGATGTATGGGACAGGGTAGGAGGAAAGCTGAAGGGACCTGTGGGCCCAGAGCAAAAAAAAAAAAAAAAAAAAAAAAAAAAAAGGTGGGTGTTTCTGTGGCCAAGGCCTTTCCCACTGCCCTAGAGAGTATAGCTCTATGGTCTGGAAGGGGTGTCTTGTCACTGCCGGCTGGCATCTTCACCTGATTACCAGAGCTGGACAGAAATCCCCCTCCACCCCCAGCTCCTGATAACCAGAACACTCAGTGTACATCTATCTGTTCAGATTAGAGATGTTCAGGGTCACAGAATTGGAACATTAGAGACACTATCTTACCATGCCCAGCTTTTTAAGTTAATCCCTGTATCTCTTACCTCCCCTCTGTCCCTGACCGGCATGGATAGTGTAGAGCAGGACTCCCGCCTGGGGCTCAGGGTCCCTGGATTATTCCAAAGTGGTTATTTCTTCTGCAAAACAGAAGCCTGCTCCTCAGGATTCTGCTCCTCACTTTACGCAGGGCCAAAATTTGTAGCCATGTCTTTCTTTCAATCAATCAATCATCAATCAGTCGGTCCATCGACCAATTTTAGTGTGTGTGTGTGAGAGAGATAGAGATAGAGAGAGAGAGAGAGAGAGTTCAGCACGTGCATGGGACAGTATTTATGTGAAGGCTGGAGGGTCTCAGTTTCTACCCTCTCAAGGCAGAGTCTTTCATTTACAAAGCCACTGTGTCCCTGGAGCCTCAGCACGCCAATCATTAGGGGCCAGTCTCCAAATGGAGAGTGTGAATAAAGAAAGGAGACTTCTGTGGAAATGCCCTCGCGTGCATACAGCACGCAACTGTTGGGTTGAGGCAGGGCTGTAGTCTGTCTGCAGGTCCAGGCAGTGTTAACTCACCATCTTGTAAGCCTTGGAATGTCCTGAGTAAACAGCCCCACCAAAAGGGTGGACCCCACCTGCCTGATGTGGCCAAGACTCTGATGCCCGGTTGGGCGGGGAGGAACATCGCAGAACTGATGGGAATCCCAGGTCACACTAATACAGTCTCCTCCCAGAGAACCAGACCCGTGAACCCATGCCCATCTCCCCAGCAGCCTCTTCCAGCTCACAAGTCCTGCTCAAGAAGACCCCTCCCCCACAACTGCTTCTACATCTTCCTGTTGTTGGCTCAGGAACTACTTCCTTGGCATGTGTGGCCAGTTTGGATGCCCAGTGTCTGAGAAGAGCGTCTGGCTCTCCAGGAACCTGACGGAAAGAGGGGGGGGGGGGACGCTTCCTCTCTGCTCAAGCTGTCACTGAGGAGAGAACACCACGTGCAGGGTGGGTCCTGAGATGGAGAGCTTCCCATCTGGGGCAGGCGCATCCTGAGTACCAGGGTGCCTGTTCCACCCTGAGGTACGCTGATGCTGTTTACCTGGGAGAAATGAGGGAGGTGGCCTTGGCGCTTCCTCCTGGCCTGGACAGTGTTGGGTCCACCCAACACATGTTTGCTGGGTGTGCTCAGATGTGGGAGGGATGAGCAGACGGGGCTCCACATGGCTCCAGGCCCCAGCTCTGGGCTGGGAGTCTCTTGCAAGTGTAATAGTTCCTAGTGTTGTGATCCACGGATTTCCTGCTTGTTGGCCTGACTGGCATTGCCACCTCCTATCTGTCAGGAGAGAGCCCGGGACACTAAGGGTGGGGTTCATTTGGAAAGTGTCTGCCAAGCATTCAGCGTGCTCCAGAACTGCATTAACAGGGTATGGCAGCATACACCTGAATTTTAACACTTGGGAAAGGGTTGGAAGTTCAAGGCCACCCTAAGCTATGTAGCAAGTTTGAGGCCAGCCTGGGATCCCAGAGAACTGAGACTCAATTTCTTCTCCCTACCTCCCAAAAAAAGAGAGATTGAGGAGGCTGGGGTTGATGGTGACAGTGAGGAGTGACCAGGCCCACTGTGCTCTTACCTCACATTCTTGCCCCATCTCCGAAGAGGAGAGTTGGGGTGGGCTGGGGCAGCAATTTTTCCTCTGTAGTTGCTCTGCGTTGTTGAGCTCCCTAGCCAAGGAACATGAGCACACCAAAGCCCCATGCAAGGGCTAATCCTGCCTCCAGAAGGCTCCTGATCTAGTCTAGGCCTCTTGACTGGGGCTAGGTGGGTTCCCATTGCAGAAGAGAAAGATGGGCAGGGTCTGAAGCTGGGAAGTCGGTACTCTGTGGGTACCAGGCAGAATGAGGGCAGAAGCTGGAGGTAAGTTGGAATCTAGACCTGGTTATCAGGGCATCTGCTCTATTATGTAGGTCTCAGGTGCCTCCTGGGGCTGTGGCTACCTGGAGTCAGCCACCCCAACTTTACAGCCTTGAATGCGCGTTCATGCAATGCATGTTTTATTTGTTTCTTTGTTGGTTTTTAACTTTTCTTTTTTCTGTTTGGTCTTATTTTACCAGACAGGGTTTCTCTGTGTAACAGCCCTAGCTGTCCTGGAACTCATCCTTGTAGACCAGGCTGGCTTTGAACTCACAGAGATCCGCCTGCCTCTGCCTCCCGAGTGCTGGGATTAAAGGCGTGCGCCACCACCACCTGGCTTGTTTTAACGTTTTAAGGTTGATTCATTCTATTGTGTGTGTATCAGTGTTTTTGCCTGCATATGTTGTGTGTGTGTGTGTGTGTGTGTGTGTGTGTGTGTGTGTGTGTGTGTGTATCATGTGCCTGCCTGGGGCCTTCAGAGGTCAGAAGAGGCAGATGGGAGGCCCTGGAACTAAAGGTTCGGAGAGTTGTAAACCTCACCATCTGGGTGCTGGGAACCAAACCCAAGTCCTTTGCAAGAGCAACAAAAAGCTTTTAACCACTAAGCTATCTCTCCAGCCCCTGGTTTTCAGGTTGTTGTTGCCTTTCCAGAGATGGGGGCCTCGCTGTAACTGAGACTGGCCTCAATTCATGGCACTCCTCCTGACCTCCTGAATTCTGGGGTTACATGTGTGTGCCGCCACGTCCATCTAGGAGGGTGGAGGGTTTTACTTGTTTGTTTGGTGGGGATCGGTATCCTTAAACTCACTGAGTAATGAAGATGACTTGATATTCCGTTCCCCTGTCCCAGCCCATCCGGTTGACATCACAGTTGTGTACCCCACACACCATGATGTTAGGGAGGTTTTCTATTATCATCAGTTTGCAGATAAGCCTAGGAGATCGGCGGAGAAGGCACATAATGTAGTTACCACTATCAGCTCGCAGGCTCCTGCCCTGCCTGCCTGTCCTTCCAGAAGAAGCGTGCTGTCTTGTCCTGTTTCTCTCTGTCCCTCTCGGAACCCTCCCACGTCACCCGGAACATGCTCATCCTCTTGCTCCCACCCTCCCTGCGCACATCCTCTCTCAGCCCTCTGACCCGGCTCCAGACACCACTCTTCTTCCTTAGTCTCTTCGGTACTTCACTGACTCCGGTGAGGCCAGCACAGTCCAGCCTCAGGGCCTGAGGCACTATCTAGCAGGCCAAAGTAGGACCGGGGAATCTGTCTCCCCACATCAAGAGGAGAGGTAAAGAATTAGGGGTGTACTCATTTGATAAGTTTGCCTGGCACTGCACTAATGGGGTGTGGTGGGACTTCCATCACCTGTAGGAACAGTGCTCAGAGAAACGGAGGAAGGAAGGGGGCCAAGAGGAAAGCTAGACCTGGAGATAGGGAAAGGTTTGCCTTATGCGATCCTGTTTGGAGAAGACAGCTACGGAGGGGAGGATGGACATGGGGTGTTTACCTGCACCAGAAATGAATATATATACACATATTTTACCCATAGATCGACTTGTGTCTGAGAAAACCAGCATCTGGCTGGGGGTGGGGCTCAAGTGGTATAGCACTTGCCTAGCATGCATGAGGCCCTGGTTCTATGCCTAGCACAGCCAAAAATTTAAAAATACAGATCTGGATATGGTGGTACATTCCTTTAGTTCCAGCATTTGAGGCAGAGACAGGTAGATCTCTCTGGGTTCGAGACCAGCCTGGTCTACATAGTGAATTCTAGGACACCTGGGGCTATAGAGAGAGATCCTGTCTCAAAAAAATAAAACTAAGAATATTTTCAAATATTTATTTATTTATTTTGTGTGTATAGGTGGTTTTATCTGTGTGTGTATCTGAGCACCATGTGCATGCCTGACACCAGCAGAGGCTAGAAGAGGACACTAGATTTCCTGGGACTGGAGTTACAGATTGTGAGTCACCGTGTGGGTGCTGAGTCTTGAACCCAGGTCCTCTGCAGGAACAGCGAGTGGTCTTAACCACTGAGCCATTTCTTTGGCCCCATAAATAGAAGTTAAGAGAAAGTCATCACCTTGCACATGGATGGAGATGACTCACGGGGTGCGGGGAGGGGGAGATGGTGGTGCAGGAGAGTGGCTACAGATCGGAGACACCACTGGATAGCCCCCCAGTTGTAGCCTAGGTCCTTGTATCCTCCCCTGCCCACCAAGCAATGGCCCTGGTCCTTTCTCATGACACCTTCAATCTGTACATCTGAGGTGTTTCCACACTTGACCCCTGCTTAGGCTGTGCCTGAAACTCTAAGAGACGGTGCCTAAGTTACCCAGCCCCTAAGTTCTCTTAGAAACTATTTCAGATTTACAAAATCCACAGCAGTTTTTCCTCATTTGCAATAACAACAGAAGATGGAAAGAAAGAGGCTA